TACATACATACATACATACATACATACATACATACATACATACATACATACATACATACATACATACATACATACATACTATATGGACAGCTGTGTCTGAGTGGTTAGAGCAGTCGTCCTCTAGTGCGAGAGTTGGGGATTCGAATCCACCAGCAGTCACATGCTGAAGTGTCCCTGGGCAAGACACTGAACCCCTCATAGCCTCTGATGTGTGTCTCATCAGTGTATGAATGTGATAAAGCTCTGATTAGTCTCTTTAGAATGATTTGATAAGATAGAAAGGTGCTATATAAGTACAGTCCATTTACATACATACATTACATGAGGGGTTCTTAAACTTTTTGGATTCAACAACCCCTTACAGGGTGCAAAAGTTTGAAGGACCTCCACATCCTCATGTACATTAAATAACTTTCTTCAATTTGCCTCTTTAATGCAATGGAAATATTTGTGTAACATAAAAACTTAAGACCTGTTTTTCAAGTGTTAATACCATTTTTTCCTTCTTTCAGCTTTTCCCTTCTTCAGGGGTCACCACAGTGTACTAACTTGTATGAAGACCTGGCAATTGTCTTTACGCAGGATGCCCTTCTTGACGCAACCACAGACCAATGAGCTACCACAGCCCTCTGTGCTGTCAACTAGGGTGCCCAAGGGAGGGGGGGGGGGCTGTTTAAGGGCCTTGTTCAGGGGCCCAGAGTGGGTCAAATGAGGGTGGAGGCAGGTGTAGGAGTTTCACCTTTCCCACCCACATTTTGATGTTGTTGTTCCAGGGAGTTGAACCATAGACGTTCTGATCACAGGCTCACCTTCTCTAACCTCTGTGCCACTTTGAAAAGTGTAAAAGACATAAAAACCAAACCATATCATTAATCTCCTGAATGAGCTGCATGTTGTGATTTATGAATGGTTGGGGTTAAAGTAACACAACATACAGAAGTCGATTGTAAGTACCATAATTGTAAGTACCGTATGGATAATTAAAACACAGGAAACAGCAGGGTTGACTCAGTACAGCGAGGTAACAGTTCAGGAACATCCACAACAGAGACGACAGTACAGTGACTGAGAACAGCAGAATTGTCCTTTTTCTTCCCATCTGAGTGAAGCACATCCATCAGAATGTCTCTGCACACAGAACCGACACACCTCACGACTGCAGGGTTTATCTGTTTTTGTGTGGAACTCAGTAATCCAGGATGGGGGGTAGAATTAATCCCTAAAAACCACTGAAGTCATCCAAGAACAGCACCCTCCCAGAGCCAGCTGTTTTGTCCAGATAGGACGAGGCTCTGCAGCAGCTGAAAGATGCAGGAGACGTGAGGTGTTTTCTGCTGGAGAGTTGGTAAAGGGAATGTTCAGAAGTGTGATTCTTTGTAGGAAGAATCTGAACAATCTCCGTCTGATAAAGATTGGTCTTTAAACAACTTCAGTTTGGAGAAAAGGTTTAATGTTGACAAGGCTACAGAGCTAACAGCTGGTCTGAGCAGGGCCGAGACCACAGTGGATCATTCAGAACTAGGACAGCTCAGATCCCTTTGAGGGGTCTGAGGTGCAAGGTCAAATTGTAGACCTGCAACAGGTCATTGTTCTGAGGAGGACCGGCTGAAAAAGACTTGGTACCAATACATAACCCAGCCTGGTACACACCCTGGAAGAGATAATGACAGATAACTACTGTACACGTATAAGAACCAGGAAAGAACACTGTACATAGCAGGTAAGTATTCATTCAACCTTTATTTAGACAGGTTAATCCCACTGAACCTCGAGGACTCATTTACGAGAGAGACCTGGTTTCAACAAAGAAAGATGACAACACTGGACAACAGCGACAACAATAGACAGTTATAAAAAGGCATGGTACAACCAAGGTAAGTACACCTTACACACTGGATAGGTACATTGTGCATACAAGGTAAGTAAACTGCAAGCGCTGGGTAAGATTTGTGTAAGTATCCAGGAAGTATCAGATAATATCATGTAAGTACTTAATATGTACATGTTAAGTCCTTAATAAGCACCCCAGGAAATACCGGGCAAGTAAACTGTAAGTATCAAGTATATATAAAGTAATAATTTAGAAATATTACTAGAACCTGATTTACTGTATGTTTGGACAGTTTTAATCCTGTTGAGCTCTGAATTGTCAAAAATAATAATCTCATCCAAACCATCCACATGCCTGCTAGATCTCATCCCAACCAGACTGTTTAAAGAGGTATTTCCACTAATTAATGTCCACATTTTGGATCTACTTCATTTGTCTTTAATGAATGGTTACGTACCACAGAGCTTTAAGGTTGCTGTAATTAAAACTTTACTTAAGAAGCCTGACCTTGATTCAGAAATCCTGGCCAATTATAGATCTATATCTAACCTAACTTTTTTCTCAAAAATTCTAAAGAAAATAACAAAGTCCATGCTGAATAATCCAGGTATACAATCCAACATTTTTCATTCAGATCATCTGGACAGTTTCTTGTTTTGTGCTGAAACGTTTCGCCTTCAATCCAGAAGGCTTCATCAGTCAAGGAAACACACAACACAAAACTGATTCTCCCCCAACAGCTTACTCCAAAGTGGAACAAACCAGTTTTGTTTGTGATAAGATGGTGTCTTTGGTACGCCCCCTTCTCCATTGCCAGCCCTCTTCCTTGTTGACAGTCATGTCAAACTGGTTGAAAACGACAAAATCCATGCTCAATAATCCAGGTATACAATCGAACATTTTTCAGTCAGGTCATCTGGACAGTTTCTTTCTGGACAGAGACTGTCTTATCACAAGCAAAACTGGTTTGTTCCACTTTAGAGTAAGCTGTTGGGGGTTAGGCAATGGGAAATGGGGGAAAAATCAGTTTTGTTGTGTGTTTCCTTGACTGATGAAGCCTTCCGGATTGAAGGCGAAACGTTTCAGCACAATAAAGAAACTGTCCAGATGACCTGAATGAAAAATGTTGGATCGTATACCTGGATTATTGAGCATGGACTTTGTTGTTTTCAACCATAAATAATGAATCTTCTTCATATACCAAAGTTAGTTATGGAGTTTCTCAGGGTTCCGTGCTTGGACCAATTTACCTTATATTTGCTTTCATTTGGTAAAGTTATTAAACAACATAGGATACATTTTCAATGTTATGCTGATGATATACAATTATATTTGTCTATGAAACCCGATGAATCCAATCTGTTACTTAAGTTACAATCATGTCTTAAAGACATAAAAACTTGGAAGACCCATAATTTTCTTATTTTTAACTCAGACAAGACAAAGTTTGGGGTTTTTGGACCTGAGCTTCTTAGGAATAAATTTTGCAGTCTTTCACTTTCTCTGAATGGCTTTAATTTTGCCTCCATTTCCAAAGTTGACAACTGTGGTATTATTTTTTGATACGAGTATGTATTTTACCCCATCGAAATTTATTTAAGAGACTGAGCTGAAAACAACACCTCAGACTGAGGAAGTCTCTTGGATGAGAGACGAAACGTTTCTATATTTGTTTGCTTTGTTTTGTTTTTTGTTTTTTTTTAATGTCCAGAGGACCAGATTTAACTTTTTTCGATTTTTCTACCTGGATTATTGAGCATGCATCAGGATATTTTACCCCATATTAAAAATGTTACTAAAACCGTTTTCCTCCACCTGTGTAATATCACTAAGATTAGAAGCATCTTGTCCAAAAATTATGCAGAAAAACTGGTCCATGCATTGATCACATCTAGGCTGGACTATTACAACTGTGTACTATCTGGGTGTCCACAAACTTCGTTAAAACGTCTTCAGCTGATCCAAAATGCTGCTGCCAGATTTTAATGAGAGTCGATAGAAGAGATCACATTTCTCCACTTTTAGTTTCTCTCCATTGGCTCCCTGTCAAATACAGAATATAATTTAAAATCTTACTTCTAACCTACAAAGCTCTCAACAACTTAGCTCCATCATATACTACAGATCTTATCAATCAACCTTTATTTATACAGGTAAATCCCATTGAGCCTCGAGGACTCATTTACAAGAGAGACCTGATTTCAACAAAGAAAGATGACAACAATGGACAACAGCAACAACAATAAACAGTTATAAAAACTCATACTACAGTTTTTTTTTTTTTTTTTTTTTTTAACAAATAGGATGGCTAAAAGGAAAAAGGTAACAAAACCAAAAAAACTACTAGATTCCGAGACAAATGTATAAAACTAAAAACAGGAACATCTGCGTTGGTCCCTGCCAGGAGTCCAACAGATTCTTAAAGCCACTTAGAGAGGTCAAAGGTCGAGAGCTTCAAATCTTTTTGTAAGATATT